ACCACCCCCACCCACCCACACCCACACCCACACCCTCCCCCACCCCAACACACAAAGGTTAATTTCTTTTGACTCTTCTACATTGAGTGAAATTTTGTAACTTATTGCGCATAGGTAAAATTAATATGTCCATCTGAGGGTAAAAGCATCAAATTTTTTTAACCCTCTCTATCTGCAGTAATGAAACGACAGGAGTAGTAAGTTCAAAACAGCGATATTAGAGGGATCTATGTTCTATTAACCCTTTGTAAAAAGAAAGAGACATTGCTTGTTATAATCAAATTGTATTTGCTTGTCTCGGAGGTTTTGCTCGTCTGTTTTCTTGTTTCTCTCAAACTAGGTTCCAGAATTAGTGTCCTAACTATTAAGGATCACTTAGTAAAAACTCTGGTAAAATGTGATGAAAGATGTCATGCAAGTAAGTGTAAATCATGGCGGTATCAAAGCCTTGCTTGCGGATGGTCTAAATTATATACTTGAATAGGTGAAAATAGAACAACTGGAATTTAAAATGATTAAACGAAACTCATCAAATTGCAGTAAGAAGGATATGTTTCTGCAATATCTAAGTCTTACAATCATAAGCCTAAGAAGTCTCAACAGTTTCAACAAAGATTGATCTATCTATCAACAAACTGCAGTCTGCAAAGTCAGGCTTAGAGCTTTAGTTGTTTTCCATAGTAGAGGATATCCTGATAGTGACTGCATCGATTCTGGAAGCTCGATAAACCTGCAGGTGATTGTTTCGGTTATCAACTCCAAGCTACGAGGGTCGTAAAAAGTAAAATAAAATACAAGATATGACAAAAACATGCTTTCAAGTGAAAGTTATGAACTGCATCCAGTTTCTAGGAGCAAATTCTTCACATTGGAATTGAAGAAAGCTATATGGCTATATGAAAAACCTCTTAATTTCTTTGGTTGGAGAAGTTTAGAGATATGGAAAAGGTTATATGTGCTGTTTCCTAGCTTAAAAAAATATGAGAACTCCCAAAAATACCATATTTCTGGTGAAAGAGAGATGAGCATATATAAAAGTTTGGGTAAAATAAGGTCACTCTCTTCACTTCCTTTTCTTCTACTGTTGAAGATTATGAACTGCTTCACCTGCGAGAAAAAAACCCAGAATGAATGTCATCCAGTTTCATGACATTGCACTCATTATTTAATGACATAACCTGGCTAAAGTAGTTACTTATAGTCTAACCTTCCTTGCTTTCTATAACATACATATCATACAAATGGAAATTGAATTGAAAAGGAAGGAACTCTTAAGAGATTAAAAGCTAAAATTTCTTAGGCATCAGAGCTCAGCCAGAAAAAAGGGGTGAGGACAAAAAAATTGAACCGACATTTCAGTAAATCTTTTCATCTTGATGGAATAGCATAGAATTAGAAACAATTAAGGACCAATTAGGAACATACGATTTAAGTGAGGATAATTCAATTTTATTAAACCAAAATAATCCTCTTTTTGGAAATGACTGAAAAAGCCTAAACTTGATAACGATACAAGTGAATAGAAGGTGTTTGATATATACCATGCATTCTCTTGAGGAAGCAGAAAAATTCATAGAAATTTCCTTCCCTAGAATCTGGATATCCTTCCATGAGAGGTGGAGCGAGCCTCAGGTACGTGAACGATGACAAGTGTCGTCCCTTACGTTCATTCTCTGGTTTTGCATTTTCCAAAATTTGATTGTAGCCATCTCTTCCATAGCAAGGAAGCGCATTCTCACTAGCGACAGGTATACAGACATCCCATGCATCATTCAGAACCAGAGGATGATCATATTCATTTCAGTACATGATAATCCAGGCATCATAGTTCTTTAAAGGGTTAATTGCAGATAGACCCCCTGTAGCTATACTGTTGGAGATAGACCTCCTGTATCTTTTTGACTCTTTTATCCTCACAGAAAAAGAAATTTATTTTATGACAAATACATCTCCTAAGGGTAAATGAGTCAAAAAATTCAGTCAGGGGATCTATCCGCAATTGGGCGATAGTACAGGGAGTCTCTCCACAACAATAGAACTGCAGGGGGTCTATCAACAACTGGTGCACATCCAAGCAGACACAAAGATACAGTGGCATATATTTATAACTCTATTTAAGAACTTTAATTCTTTAGGTTTTCGCTCAATGTTCATTAGCGAGTGTGTGGACGCGGGGCCCACCCACGTGGGTGTCTGCCCACGAGCAGATGAGAGCAGACGAGCGTATGCTTTTTTGCGCGCGCATGAAAGCTCACCGCGGGATTTTTTTCCCGCGAGATTTTCTTTTTTTGCGCACGCTTTCCTCTTTTCCCGCCGCGTGAGCCCTTTTCCCGCCGCGTGAGCCCCGCCAAAATGCCTCAGTTCTCTCCCCCCCCCCTTATTTTTTTTAAATTGAGGTGGTTGTGTAGTGTTTTGTGTGTGGGGAAATTAAGAGAAAAATAAATTGGTTGTTCTTTTGAGAGAAAAAGAAAGAGAGGAAGAGAGAACTTGTATAAGTTTGGTATTTTTCCTCCATAGTGAAACCCCCTCCCGTGGACGTAGACTAGTTTGCCGAACCACGTAAAAATCCCGTGTTTGTATTTGTTTTATCTGTGAGTTGTCATAGCTTGTAGGTTCCCTCGATATTTCAGTCCTTGAACTGATGAGAGGAAGAGTGTATATTTCACTTTGATGAAATATATCACTTTCGATTCTTGTTTCCTTTGAGAAATAAAAATTTTACTATCTATTCTAGTTTCCTTTGAGAAACAAGAATATAGAGGTTGACTTGTGCTTTTGTGACAACAATACTATTCTAGTTTCCTTTGAGAAACAAGAATATAGAGGTTGACTTGTGCTTTTGTGACAACAATAGCCAGGAGCTATCTCTCAGTTGATATCGCTTCCGTGGCGGTGGGCGTGACTCCGCCCCAACAATTGGTATCAGAGCCCTTATTCAGACTGGAGGTGGAAAAATTTCTGATCTGAGGTGGTGGTTGAATATTGTGTGGTAAAACACAAAGAAATTGTTAAAAATTCCCGAGAGAAGCGGATTTACATAATACAAGCAGAAAATTGCGTCTACAAGTAAAACAAATAAAATTAGAAAGTACGAGATTGAAAAATTTAATGGGAAAAATGATTTTTCCTATTGGAGGATGCAGATGAAAATTTCGCTGCTTTCGCAAAAGTTGCACAAGACTTCGGCTGGAAGAGAGAAGCATAAAAATATGTCTGATGAGGATTGGGAGGAGCTGGATCTGGAAGCACGAGCGTCGATTATCTTATGCCTTGAGAGAGATGTAGCTTTCTTGGTAGACGGGGAGGAAACGGCTACGGGTGTGTGGTTGAAGTTAGAAAGCACCTTCATGATGAAGAGTCTAACGAACCGGATCTATTTAAAATCTAAATTGTATACTTGCAAAATGGAGGAGGGCTCGTCAATCCGGGAGTATATCAACAAGTTTGATAGGATCTTATCAGACTTGAAAGACATTAAGGTGATAGTGGAAGACGAGGATCAGGCGCTTCTACTACTTCTATCCCTGCCAAAGTCTTATGAAAACCTGGTGCAAACACTGATGCTTATGGGTGATACTTTGTCGATGGATGAGACTAAAACATCACTTCTAGCGGATGACCTTCGAAAAATTGCAACTAGTGATATGGCCACTGGTGGTAATAAAGAACAAGCGCAGAGACTGTTTGCCAGAGAAAGAGGCAATGAGCGAGGAAAAGGCAAGGGAGGAAAGTCTAGATCTAAATTGAGATCTCTTGCGGGACGAGCATGTTTCAAATGCGGTGAAGTTGGGCAAATCAAGATCGATTGTCCTAACAAGAGAGTAGGTGGGAAAAAGAACAACAACAAGACTGAAAGACGAGAAGGCAAGGAAGAGGCGAGCTACGTTTCAGAGGATGGGAGCGATAAGGAATGTTATGTCGTCACGGATGGCGAGGATATCACCGGGAAGTGGATTCTTGATTCTGGTTGCTCTTACCACATGTGTCCAAACAGGAAGTGGTTTACTACCTACAGGAGCATTGATGGTGGAACCGTATTGATGGGAAACAACCATGCTTGTAAAACGGTGGGGCTAGGTGATATCAAAATCAAGATGCATGATGGAGTGGTTCGAACCCTGACGGACGTACGACACGTTCCCGGCTTGTGGAAGAATCTTATCTCAGTCGGTGCTTTGGACTCCGGGGGTTACAAGATTGTAACAGAGAACGGAGTGAAGAGGGTTGTTCGGGGTTCCTTAACAGTGATGAAGGGTGTTCGTCACGGTAATCTATATACTCTCTCGGGTACAATGGTGATAGGAGATGCAGCAGTTGGAGCTGAAGGAAGTGGTGGAGACCCATGTGAGCACACACGGTTATAGCATAGACAGCTTGGGCACATGTCAGAGAATGGTCTGGATCTGCTTGGTAAAGAGGGTTTGCTGAAGAATCTGAAGAAGCCTTGTATGGATTTTTGCAAGGACTGTGTGTATGGAAAGGCGCACAGGGTTCAATTTCTGAGGAGCAAGCACAAGAGCAGAGGGATACTAGATTATGTGCACACAGATGTTTGGGGTCCGGCTTCGACAACTTCCAAGGGTGGTTCCAGATATTTTGTCTCATTCATAGATGATCATTCAAGATATGCTTGGGTTTATTTCCTAAAGCATAAGAATGAGGTATTTGAGACATTCAAGAAGTGGAAGGCGATGGTTGAGAACAGAACGAGTAAGAAATTGAAGACACTGAGATCTGATAACGGTACAGAGTATACAGACGGTGCTTTCAAGGAGTTCTGTGATCAGGAAGGGATTGCTAGACACTGGACAGTTAGATCTACACCATAGCAGAATGGGGTCGCGGAAAGACTGAACCGAACACTACGGGAGAAAGCAGTGAGTATGCGATTATATGCTGGTTTGAGCAAAGAATGGTGGGCAGAATTGATTGCTACAGCTTGCTATATAGTGAATCGATCTCCACATTCGACATT